CCAGCTGCAGCATTAAAGTGATGAACACATTCATGCATCAATAATTATAATCCAGTACTGTAATGTGTATATATTATTTTGAAATGGGACATAATGAGTACTTTCCCTTTTGGTACTGTAACTATATTTTGATCCTAATACTTTTGTACTTTTACTTCAGTACAATTTGAATGTATTTCTACACTGTGGTATTACTACCTTCACTTAAGTAAACAATCACTACCTGCCCTCGTGTTTGCTGTGTGTCAGTGCTTGTACTACACCTGTAGTTCATTTGCTCTGGACCAAGAAAAAAAGGATACAGAACTTTTTTTTTTAGTTCTGGTCCAGTTTGTGTTCAACCAAGAGGAGCAAACATCGGGAGATGGCTCTAACTGTTTATGATCAGCTGTAGTTAATCGATTTAATCAAAGCTTAAATCACATATCTGCTATCAGACATGCCTTTGCCAAATGAACCACACCAGAATCCACCTGTAGGAGGACAAAGACCCTCCTTTTCAGGCGGTTGTCCTCCGTCAGGATGTTTATTCTGCACCAGTTCTTGAAGTTCAATTGACAGCAGTTCAGACCAAAAGCACCGAAAGCACCCTTAGATTGTGATAACACAAGTGGTTGAACTTGAACAATTTACAGTATTCAAGCTAAATTTTTGCCTCAATGCTCCTCATCATCATAATCACGTTTTTAAGTGCTTCTCATCTCAGTTTATATTCTGCCGTAGTGGTACAAATTACCAAAAACTTTGCATTGATAGAAGTAGCTGACACACAGTGACTCTGCAGACTTGGGGGGCGCCTCTTAAGGTTTGAGGCCAGCGAGCAAATTTACCACTTTGTGTGGTTAGTAATGTAACCTCGAGTAGATTAACCACGGATATACAACACCATGAGATCTAACGTTTCCTCTTCTCTCCTCCTAGGACTACGATGGCCTCGTGGTCAGATCTGCCACGAAGGTAACGGCCGACATTATCACTGCCGCTGATAATCTCAAAATCATTGGGAGAGCCGGGACTGGTGTGGACAATGTGGATGTTGATGCTGCCACCAAAAAGGGTATTATCGTCATGAAGTAAGTCTCCGGTCTGCGCACACATTTTGGGTTCAGTATAACGTATTGTCCATTAACTGTAGACTGTTTTCTCCAGCACGCCGAGCGGTAACACAATCAGTGCCGCTGAGCTGACGTGTGCCCTGCTGATGAGCCTCTCAAGGCAAGATGATTCATGTTTTTAATGCACAATTGTCAACATGCTAGGCAGTCTTTTTAATTGCATTGAAGTAGTGTAAAAGTGGCAATCATTACGCCATTGTGTTCTTCAGAAATGTGCCTCAGGCTGCAATGTCGATGAAGCAGGGCAACTGGGATCGCAAGAAGGTGAGCAGAGGACTTTAGTTTGTGCCTGTGTGCTTGTTTGAACGAATGTGTTTGCAGTCGGCACACAAAGCGATTTACTGTCGCATGGCCGGCTCCATTGTTCAACCGGTCATCGCTGATCAGATGTGACACTTCGATCGGTGCAGTTTGGGATTTCGTAGAAGGGGGTCATTGTTTTGTTTTTGGATTTCATGGACGGGGGTCATTGTTTTGTTTGTAATTTTTACAGTTCATGGGTGCAGAGCTGTTTGGCAAGGTACTCGGAATAGTTGGACTCGGCAGAATAGGGAAGGAAGTGGCCTCAAGAATGCAGTCATTTGGCATGAGGGTAAGTAATGAGATTCCACACGACCAGACTGTGTGCTCACATTTCTCAGTGGTTAGTTGCACTTAAATATTTACATAAAAAATGGAAAGATCATTTGTTTTTGTATTTTTCTCGCTCTTCTTAGACTATCGGCTACGATCCAATCACTCCTCCAGAGGTGTCTGCCAGCTGGGGGGTGGAGCAGATGTCTCTGGAGCAGCTTTGGCCCCAGTGTGACTACATTACTGTCCACACTCCCCTAATGCCCTCTACTGTTGGTGAGTTTGACTGGGAGGATAAATTGTACTTCTAAATTGTGGAGTTTCTTTTTCAATCCTTTTTTTTTTTTTTTCCCCACCAAGGTCTGCTTAATGATGAAACGTTTGCTAAATGCAAGAAAGGAGTGAAGGTTGTGAACTGTGCACGAGGGGGTATCATCGACGAGGCCGCTCTCCTCAGAGCTTTGGAGTCCGGACAGTGCGGAGGCGCAGGGCTGGATGTCTTTGTTGAGGCAAGACTACTGGAGCATGTCCTCACACAAATAATTTAAAGTTGCTGTCTTTTATTGGTCACAAGTTACTGTATGTAACTA